AACTATCAAAAACTATGTAGACAGTGTAGCCATTCCTCCTCGCATGCAGACGTCTATCCGACCGTGTCCTCACCTAAATCCTGCAAAAACATAAAAAGACAATGGGGTGAGCACAAATAATGCTCAATAAGTAAACCCTCTAGTCATCTATCCCCGTAACTCTGTCTCTCTAAGTCTTTCCTTACAATTCTCATTTACTCTCTCTTTTATACTTCTCTCTGTTTTCTCTTTATGTTTCTCTCTCTTTGTTTCTCTTTCTTAAAACTCTTTTCTACTAACTCTCTTTAGTAAGTCACGGCCCCATCTTATCGGGGCGCGGCCGGGATTCGCTCCCGCTCTCCGTGACTTCTACTCGTTCTTAGCCGATCAAACTCGGTTATGCATAGATCTCTCGGGTACTCTCGGGTATAGCCCTCATCCGCATGCACTCTCACGGGCTACACCACTTCTCTCTCTCATACTCATGCCGCTCTCTCAATGCGGCGTACATGCGGGAATACTCTACCCATTACTCACGGGTTCTCCATCGCACAACCCACTCTATTCTCTTTTTCTCTCTTTTCTCTAATGCATAATTAATGCATATGGATGATTCATACTTATTAATGCACTTATGAAATGCACAAATGCAATGTTGCATCAAGATAATTATTCTGCACAGGTCACACTCAAGAAGGCATAACTTGAGTTATACGTATTGGATTGCTACGATTTTGGTCTCTTTTTAAAGCTTAGAGACAAGGCTACAACTTTTATGTTTTGATCTCAATCTAGTTCAATCTGTAAGATATCCAAAAATCACTCAAAAGGTCATAGCTGTGACAGGACAGTTTTCACTTAGGCATTCCATCAAACAATAAATGTGCAAACATAAATTCTACTTTAGTTATAACTCTTCTCCTTTCTTCAACCATCCAAAATGGGATTAAAGCTCCCTTGTATCATCACAAAACCTGTCAAGGAAAAACACTCCCAAAAGTTTACTCAAACTTCTTTCAACTTCAATCAAACTTCAACCCATCATCATACAATCAAAAGCACTTCTCATAAGTCAAATATATCCAAGAACAAGCATAATTCATCATCAATCTCATCTCAATTTATCAATAATCATAACACATACATAATTAAAAGAAATCCCAACTCACTTGATTTTCTTAAATCTTAACTTGGTTGGATTTACTTACCTTGAATTTGAGCAACTCCAACACTATAATCTCTCTTTGATAGAATTCTCTTTCCTCTTAAACTCTAAGCATATAAAACCATAAGAATTCAAAACTTTAAAATTTAATCTCACATCTTGATGCAAAAATCTTACCTTTGGATGCTTAGGATTGAAAATCTACTCAAAAATACACAAAATCTATGAATTTCCTTGGAAATCTAGTGAAGAAATTTGAGAGAATTTGAGTAGAGAATGGCATGGGATAGAGTGGCTAGGGTTTCTACTCTTGAACTCTTATTACATAATAATAATATATATATATATTATTATGTAATAAGAGTTTATATGTAGTTTCCCATTTTGCCCATAAATATATATATATATTAGTTTCCCATTTTACCCTTTCTCTTTCTTGAAAATTCCATCTATGTTCCTTAGTCAATGACAATAATGCCCTCATTTTTATTACATTCTCCATGAAATTCTATCTCTTTTCACTCCCCAATTTTTCAACTAATTTTGAGTGAAAAGACCATTTTACCCCTAATGAAAGTTTAAGGGATTTTCTTCACATTTTTCTCAAAATAACTTTAACAAAATTCAACTAAGAGCCAATCAACGAAAAATAACAACATGCAAGCTCAAATGAGAACAAATCAATAAACATTCAAGCAATGCAACAATAATTTAACTCATACCTCTAGTGGGGCGTTACACATTGTCCCTATGATAACGACAATATTTTTTACTGTTTCTGGATGAGGAGAGACCTTTCATGGGCTCAGGCTCTCCGAGCAGACTGGCCTCTTCTGATTTATCAAGAATGGCTGAAACAGATGCATTCAAAGGGGTATACTAAGTCCTATCGCGATCGCGACGAGGAACTATAGCATAAGACTTCTTGGGCTCGAACCGAGGTTTTTTTCCTTTTCGTTGATCGTCATTAGCCCATCTGCGATCAACTCTCCTATTTTCCCCCTGACCTGGTGCATTGCCAGAAGTGCCGGGGTTGTGGCGGTGGAGCGCCGCCACAACGCTCTCAATACGGAGGTATTTCTTCGTAAGGTTATAAAAGCGAGTGAGGGAAACATCGTCCTCTGATTGCAGCTCCTTCCGCAGGTCTGTCTGTGGATGAACTCTCGCTATGATAAGAGTCTGAACGGACTCTTCGAGAGTGTGAGCTACTTTATGGAGCTTTCTGTGGAACCTATCGATGTAAGATTGGAAGGATTCATCCCTTTCTTGCCTTATGTTGCTAAGGTAGCTCAAAAGTATTGAGAACTTCCTGTTTTCTTGGAACTGTCTCAAGAATGTCGAGCTCATCTGATTCCACGAGCTGATTGATCCCGCCGAAAGTGACTTAAACCATCGCTTAGCATTAGACGTAAGAGTCATTGCCAAGCATTGGCATTTTGCCAAATCAGAAACTTGATGAAGTTCCATCAGGTCGTTGAATTCGTATAAATGATCCTACGGATTAGAATTTCCATTGAACGCTGGCATATCGGGCATTCTGAATCTGGAAGGGAGAGAGACAGCTAACACAGTCGGAGAAAGAGGAGACGCTTCTGCAACCTACCCTTGCTCATTTTTTTTAAGCTTTTAGCTGATCCAGAGCTCGTTGTAGCTCCTCAATCTGAGGCAGCGGAGCCATCTGGGGATCGCTTTCCCCCATGCGGGTTCGACTCTTGCGATTGCGGTCAAGGAAAGTCCGGATGTCAGATTCCTCCTCGCCTCGACTGACAGTTCCGGCCGCTCTTGACACACGCTAGGTAGAGTCGTGTGATGGCGATGAATGGTCTGGGGAACCTTTCCGACCTCTGCGGTGGTACGAACCAACCCGCGAACGGTAGGAACTTCCCGCGTGATGACGATCAGTGTCGTCATTCTGGCGGTGATAGGAATCTCCCCGCCTCGCACTTTTATGGGAGTGCTTGCGCGATGTGGCATATGACAGCTCGGGATGTGACCTGTTACCAAGTCTTTGCACGGGTATTCTACCCGGGGTGCAGTTGGTGTTCGTAAGTCCCTCGGGTCCTTTAGGCCCACTATTTGCCACCTGCTTTCCCTTCCTTTAACGCGCTACAGTGCGTGCGGCACAGGTTATTGCCATTTTTCGTGCGTTCATGCAACCTGAAGGCGTTATAGGCAGTGGTATCGCCTTATTTGATTCGGGTGGTGCAACCCGATCCAAATGGTCGAACCTTTGGTTGACTGTTTGGAGAGTATTGTTGAACCTCTCCAGGTAGTTCATGACGGCTGGGTCAAGTCGTGAGCTTGAAGGAATATCCTCCACGAGATCTTGCGGGACTGGGGGCACTTCGGAAAAAGTATCCTTTTGCGCCTGGGGGATTTCTTCCTCACCACGGTTGGTTCGCTCAGATTCAAATCCGCGAGTCATTTGCTGTTGTAGGACCGACTAGTTAGAGATTCTCCTGATGAAGAACGAATACTAAATCAGACCCTCCTTCTAGCGCCAAACTGTTGATGCGTGATTTTGACACTAATTCACGTGTGAAATGCTGAGCTGACCCAAAGAACACACGCGAATAGGGGTTTGAGAATAGATAAAAGATGGAGAACGATGTTTAATATGGTTCAGATGCTTAAACAAGCGACTCCTACGTCCACTGATATTGTATTCATATATTGATATCAGGTCGCATTAAGCGAAATGACTTACAAGTGATTACCAAGAGAAAATAAGTGTGCTATTACAGAGAGAAATTAGCTAATCCCTCAAACGGGAGAGGAGTCCTCTATTTATAGTGGGATGGATTAAGGTAATGATTACTAAATCAGGAAATGGGTCAGATTTCCGTCCAAATCCTTCCTTACGCCCCGTTATTCACCTGTCCGAGTGATTTACTCGATTCTTGCAGGGGTTGGACAGGTGGATCACCTTTAGCCTTTCATCGGCCTGACGCGCACCTACTGCACTGGCAGGAGCACGCCTCTTGCGTCAGCATGCAACGTGGCTACACCTGAACGACACTTGGACTTACCTAAGCTCTTACCACTTGCGTTGACAAGGCTTTATGTCAACCCTATTTTTCCAGTCATAACAGTTTTCTTCTAATTTGAACAACCACTTCACGGTCACTGACATGAGTTGTGAACGAAGTAACTAATATTATGAATTAATTTTAAAGTTTTATAACATAAGGATTAAAGGTTAAAAAAAGGCGGTGAGGGTTTATAAGATGGGGTTAAGAGTTGGAAGGGTAAAGTGGGAGGGCAACTGGGCAACTAAGTACATAACGGACTAGACAGAAGAAAATCAAAGAATCACCTACTCTTCTAAGGTCACTTTTTCAACCAGAAAGATTGATGGCGGTTTTGAAATTTAGTGGAGTGTGGTGGAAAATGGGGAAAGGACCCACTTGCAATAAAAAGTATTACTCTATGTTACCCTATTCTATTATTCCACATCAATTCCGATTACAAACACGCCAACTCCGACTTTGATTCTCTCTTTTATCTCTTAAAACCTTTCCTTTTGATCCTTTTAATAATTTATACACGAATTAAAGACTTCTTAATTTTGCACACTTCAAGAACATTTCAGCTTCCACTGCTTGCCTTTTTTTTTTTTTTCAATCTGGGTTTGGCGTAAGATTCAAGTCGTCTTTAGCTTCATCTTTATAGCTTTCCTAATATGTCTCTTTAATAATATTATCTTCATTCTTTAATTCACTAAGAATATTTATCCGACTTTTTTCTGTGGTCAGAAAAAAAGGCGGAGTGGTTTTGCTGGATTCATGGAAGCTAATAAAGAAAAGAATAATATCTTTTTGCTTCCACTGATTCTTTTTTGATGAGTACGCATTTGGATTTGGGTGCTGGATCTGATAGGAGATTCACCAGATTCTATTGTTTCTGCGGATTATTTACTTGTTACAGTTGAGTCTGTAACACTGAATTTCCCTCTTTATTCTTCTTTTATATGACTCCTGTTATGTATTAGTTTTTGTTATTACAGTATTGGTAGAGGGTGATCAAGGGTGTTTTAATAGAAACATGGGGTGTGATTGACTTATTAGTTAATTTTAGGCCGCCAACAAATACGTGGTACTGAAATTTCTGGGAATTGGGCATTTCAGATGAAAATTTGAATATGTGCCGGGTGATTTACATTGCCTTGTGTTTCGCTTGCTTGAAATCTTTCATTGATGTAGGCAAATGATTTGATTTTGCACCATATTTTTGCAATTAAGGTAGACATGCAGGCAACAAGTTTATTGATGCCTTTGACAGAAGAAAGCTTATGTATGGTATTCCTTCTAAGCTGCTGATGCAGGCAAATGATTTGATTTTGCACCATATTTTTTGGTTTCTAATTTTCAATTGCCTGGTGTGTTTAATTGTAATAGTATCATGAACCTGGAAGTTATTTGCCAAATTAATGGTCGAATTCTAATGCTATAGATAAATTTTCTTGCATTTGTTAGTAATGTCCCAGTGTATATTGGCATTTCCTTTTGCTGCTAAATTTGCATTCTTATACAAATGAGCAGCTTGGTTGCCGGCAAAAGTTTGCTATCCTGCTGGCAGATAATATCTCATCATGGAATGGCTGACCAAAATTGTGCAAGGTCCCAATCATAAAGGTCAATATCATGGAAAATATGGAGATGATAGAATATGGAATGAGCCTAGAGATTCAGTGGTAATCACTTTTCTTTTTTTCCCCTTCAGTCATAGGTTTACCCTAGCTGCTGCTTTCTTCCATAGATTATTACATCAATTCTTACATTTTATTAATTATAGAATGGATACATGCTGCCAAGTTGAATATTCATGCATACATTTTATGCAGCATTTTCTTTTCAATTTTGTGATGTTGCTGACTATATGTGGAAAAACCTGGATATAGGATGATTCATCCGATTTTGACAGAGAAGAAATTGACCGTGCTATTGTAATGTCTCTTTCAGAAGTGGATCAAAAAGGAAAAAAAGTGATTGGTAAGCCCACAAACCTGTAACCACTGATCATGAAATTTTTTGTAATTGTGATATTGGAAGTTTCTGTGATCAATTACTAGACATTACTTATGGCTCAGTGCGTGAAGTACTCTGCAATGACATATCAAAAGAAACACAGAGTGAAGGGTAACTGATTGCCAATAGTATCGCTTTGTATGTGTGTACTTGCTTGATTGCTTTTACTTCTTCTTCTTTAATAAATAACAAAAATTATTCGTCATCAGATTATTTTTATTTGCATTGCTCAAAATTTTGCTCCAGAAATTATGGGCAAGAGCAGAAGTAATGCATCCGTCATTGTTTTAGATTATTATGCTATTATGTTTAATTGAATAACTTAAGAGCTTATGCTCATGAATACTCTAAATAATAAGTAAGAGTTTTAATGAAGTAGAAGTCAATTAAAATAATTTATTTTATTGGGTTTGAAAAATGATAATTCTCTTTTCAAACTAGTATCATGCCAAACAGTGGGTATGATTGCAAATTGCTTACAGAGATACACATGCATCTTGTGGTTTTTCTGTGAAATCTGTTTTCGTTTTTCAGTCACAATAGTATAGTGAAGTGAGGCAGGTGGAAGAACTGTACAAAGTGACTTCTTAAAATATCAGATTGAATGGACTTCCTTTATATATTACATGCTAACTGAACATGCATAAGGTCCATTAAAGAGGTGCACTCTATAATCAATACCAGTTATTTTCGGAAGTGTTGAATTAATGATGAAATTTAAAGTTCATACTTTTAGTCTCATTAATATATTTATTTATTAGAAAATGAATATGACTTGGAGGAAGATATACAATGTATTAAATCTGAATCGTATGAAGACGAAGATGAACTGTTTGCTAAAGCTCTGATAGAGGAAGATGAACGACGAGATAAAGCTCAACAAGAGGAATATGAACGACGAGCTCAACAAGAGGAATACGAACGTCAAGCCAAAGCTCAACTAGAGGAGGATGAACAACTTGCGAAGGCCATTCAGGAAAGTTTGAGCATTGAGCCTCCTCCTCAACCTGATACTCCAAGTATATTTCAACCTTTTCCATTCTTTTATCCTCCTGGTTACAGGTACACGTCATTGAATTCAATCTCTGTTTCAGTAATCTGACGACTGTCTATATATGTCAATTGTTTTGATTATAGCTCTTAGTGAAATGTATTAAAGGCACAAGCAGACATGCTTTTTTGTATTTGAATATTGCATTCTCTCTGAAGGAATAAAGATTTAGGGCTAGGCTAGCTTAAGCAGAAACCCATTGAATTTTAGCCGACAAACCAGCTTAAGGCATAGGCATTACACGGATAAAAGATAGCATGAACACGTCTGCTGCTCGAGCTAATTGGTTTAAAGTTTAGCACCATATTCTTGTATCAGTCCATTGTAATCTCTGCCTTGACTGAACTTTATTGGAATGAAGTGATGCAGATGTCTACTTATATCGTTTTTTCCCTGTGCAATACTTAGTTGTATTTCATTGTAGGTGCATGGGCAATTGCATTACATTCTTCTGATTAAGTTGACTTAATAATGCCAGTGGAATGAGGAAACTCATAATTTGATGGTCTAAAATCTAAATATCTTCTGTTTCGAAAATAACTAGTGCAAGATGATTAAGAATTTTTTATTTTAGGTACAATTTGAACTTTTGTTCTTCAAGGAGACATGACGTGGGAAGTACTTGACATTGGTTAATTATAAATGTGACAATCAAGAATTTTGCATTTTATTATGTGGCTCAGTTTGAAATTATCATTTTCAAGTTAGTAGACATGACATGACAATTATTTGACATTGGCAAAGGCTAAATGTGATAAAGTTGGGGTGCATTACATCCTTATGTAACATCATGAATTTGCATGCATAAATTATATATATAACATCTATTATTGTGTCTTTTATATTATCTGCTTCTTATGTTTCTAGTCTTTTTTACTTAGATATCTGACAAATCCTAACCTGGTTGTTGAAAATGTATTTCTCATAGGACGTGTGCTGGTTGCAATATTGAGATTGGTCATGGAAGATACTTAAGTTGCATGGGTGCTTTTTGGCAACCTGAATGCCTCCGTTGCCATGGTTGTAATCAACCAATTACAGATATTGAGGTTTAAATTTTATAAAACTTGAATGATAATATTAATTTTGATCAGTTAACACACTGCTTGAATTCTTGGCAAATTTTGCTGTTAGTATGGGTGGTTTTTCAATAACCAAGTGAATGAAGGGTATGGCTAAGTTGATATATCGTTTCTATGATAGTTTTCAATGTCCGGGAGTCGTCCTTATCACAAACACTGCCGTAAGGAGCAACATCACCCCAAATGTGATGTCTGCCATAACTTTGTAAGTATTTTTCCCATGTTAGTGCTATAATAACCCTTTTTTTTTTTTCCATCTCTCTACTAATGCTAGAGCTATTTTTTGTTATGTGCTTTCTGATATCTAGTATGAACATATAACTATGTCCTATCTGATTTTATGTTCAGTTGTAGAGGATGGTGAAGCTACCCGAACCAACTCCCCCTACCCTTGACGAGACGATGATTCGAACAATTGTACAGCAAGTATTAGCGGAGAGCAAGGAAGAGTTGGTCATGAGAGAACCGAGACCTCTAGTAGAGTACCGCCCACAAGACCAGAGCGAGAAGGGTCGGTACCTCAGACAGTACAGACTCGGGTTGATCCGATTCAGGGGCTTGCAAACTAGCATCAACCGCCAGCGTTTAGGGGTACTAGTATCACGGGCTGGGAGTTTCACACCCAAAAGGCTAACCTATTAGGTGGAGGGACTCCCCCCATTTATAAGCCCAAGACCTCCCCAATACGCTTTCAATGTGGGATTTGTTACATTCTCCCCCACCCAATCCTGTGACGCCCTCGTCACAGGTGAGGCCCCCTGCTTGCCCATCCACCTCACTCTCGTGTGGACCCACAATCACACGTGGACGTCCCTGCGTGGACGTTTGGTGGGACATCGAAAGACGGATTGGGTCTGCTCTGATACCACTTATCACGGGCTGGGAGTTTCACACCCAAAAGGCTAACCTATTAGGTGGAGGGACTCCCCCCATTTATAAGCCCAAGACCTCCCCAATACGCTTTCAATGTGGGATTTGTTACACTAGGGACCCGTTAGAAGCAAAAGAGTGGTTTAAGTCCGTAGAGCAGACGACGGCACTGTTTCCTATGAATGATAGAGAGAGGATTAGATATGCCAGTTTCTTATTTAAGGGAGATGCCCGAATTTGGTGGAAACTAATGGAAGAGACTCATGATATGGCCTCAATGACCTGGGAAGAATTTAGAAGATTGTTTGAGGCCGAGTACCGAACAGAAGATCGAGTACATGAGAAAGTCCAAGAGTTTATTCATCTGAGGCAGGGGACTAGTACTGTGAAAGAATATTCAGTTAGATTCAACTCTCTTGCTCGTTTCGCACCCGAAATAGTATATACCGGAATTAAGGAGAGATAAATTTGTGCAAGGGTTAAGATCAGATATTGCCCGAGATGTTATGACAGGAGCCGAGCCCCCTTATACCTACAGTGAAGCTCTAGCAAGGGTTTTAAGGGCAGAGATCTATGTAAACAAATATCTGGCAGAAGGGTTATCTCCAGTGGTACCCCGTGAACCATCCACTACCTTACAGAGGGAGAGAGTAGATGTTACAAGGAACAGAGATGTAAGGGCTAAAAAGAAGTTTCAACCCAAGAGGAACAGAAGAGACTGGCAGAACAAGCGGCCTAGAACAGAAGGGTTTCCCCCTTGTGCTAAATGTGGGAGGAACCATTCAGGAGAGTGTTTGAGGGACAGAAATGTATGTTACAGATGCCGACGGCCAGGGCATCTGATGAGGGATTGTAAAGTTCTCTTTCCACCTGTGGCTCAGGCTTCTAGAGGTACCAATGCCGGAGTTTTTACAGTGGCACAAGGTGAAGCCGAGGCCAGTCCATCAACTGTAACTGGTCAGTTGTTATGTCATGCTGTTTCCTTATATGCTTTAATTGATTTTGGGGCTACTTATTCTTTTATTTCTCATGGAATGATCGAGAGATTAGGTTTGAAACCTATTAGAGTAAGTCAACCTATTAAGATAGAGTTACCTGATGGAGTGAGTGTGTTGACTCAAGAAATGTTATTGGGAGAATCCGTAGTGATCCATAGACGAGAGTTAGTAGTTGATTTAATAGTTTTTTATATGCCTGACTTTGATGTGATCTTGGGCATGGATTTCCTAGGGAGGTATGGAGTAGAGATTGATTGTCGGAAGAAGAAAGCGAGATTTAATCTCGATAGTGGAGATAAATTTAGTTTTGGAGAGGGCCATCAGTTGAGTAAAAGCTAGAAAGATGTTGAGGAAGGGGTGTTCTGGATATATTGCTCATATAGTACAGAGTGATGATGTTCCCTAAGAATGTAATAGCCACTTTTCCTTTCCTTTGTTGTCTTGTCTTCTCTCTACAACTCAAAACAACAACAAGAACAATAACAACCAAATAAGACTTCACTATAACTATAAGCAAACTCACATCTAAAGCGTGAATCCTTACCTTAGGATGTTTTAGATGAAATCTCTACTCAAAATTACTTAAAAGCTCTCTTAAATCCCTTAGAAATCTTAGGAAAATTGAATGGAAGATTGAGAGAAATTAGAGAATGGATATGGCGGTGGAAATGAATGAATAAAGGGTTTCTCTACACTTTAATTCTTTTTAGCTCATATTATAACCATCATTTCCCATTTTGCCCTTGCTCTTCCTTGAAAATTACATCTATATCCTTTGATTCTTTGATAATACACCCTTATTATCAACACATTCTCTACTTAATTTTCTTACATTTTACTCCTCACTATTCCTACTAATTAGGGGTAGAATGGTCATTATGCCCCAAATGAAGAATTCTCTAGAAAACTCAAGAAACTTTTCATTAGGCTCGTCGCCGCGGCGAAGAACTTTATGTCGCCCCGACGAAACAGGGCAGAACCTACCCGTGGGTGTAGCTCCTCTTCGCCGCGACGAAGCTTCTTCTTCGCCCCGGCGAAGATTGGATTTCCAAACTTCACCAAAACTCAACCAATCTCAAGGCAACCATTCAACCAACTCAACATACCATTTCAATTAAAGACTCACCAACCAACCATAACAACATACAAACTCAATTGAAACTGAATCAATGAACTTTTAAGTAAGACAACAAATCTTAAGTACGTACCTCAAGCGGGGCGTTATAATTCTCCCCCCCTTAAAAGAATTTCGTCCCCGAAATTCACATGAATAACTCCGAAAAGCGAATTTGCATGTCTCGTTCTACCTCTTATGTCGCTTCTTCTACCTTGTGATTCCTCCAAAGGATCTTCACCAGCGGAATACTCTTGTTTCGGAGTTCTTTAATCCTTCGATCTAGAATCAGTACTGGATGTTCCTCATACACAAGGTTCTCTGTTAACTCAACATCTTCTATACTCAGGATATGGGAGGGATCACTTACATACTTTCGTAGCAGTGAGACATGGAACACATCATGCACCTTGTCCATACTAGGTGGAAGTACCAATATGCAGTAACCTGTCAGGCCTAAGAAACTTCGGACCTCTTTATTGCAACGAGTGGATAAAGTTGCCTACAGCATTATAACCTCTCTGTACCTTAGGGAGACCTGTGATGAAATCCATTGAAATACTCTCCCATTTTCATTCCGGAATACTAAGTGGTTGAAGCAACCCTGATGGCCTTTGCTGTTCTGCTTTCACCTGTTGACATATTAGACATTTAGCTACAAACTCTGCTATGTCTTTCTTCATACCTGGCCACCAATAGCCTTTCTTTACATCTTGGTACATCTTGGTTGCTCCAGGATGAGCAGTGTACGGTGTGTCATGAGCCTCTGAAAGAATTCTTTTTTTCAACTCATCATTCGGAAGAATACACAACCGATTCTGGAAATAGAGGACACCATCAACTACGTAGAACTCCACTGTCTTGCCCTCAAGCACTTGCTGCACTACTTTCTGACACCACTCATCAGCCACTTGTTTTTCTCTAACTTTCTCTAATAAAGTAGACTGAATCTCTAACCTGGCAATTCGTCCCGGAATCACTTTGATCTGCTCTCTGCAAAACTCTTCTATCAACTCTTTCTGCCTAGTGAGCCGAGACAAATGAGTTTTTCTACGTAAGGCGTCGGCTACTACGTTGGCTTTCCATGGTTGATACTTGATTTCACATTCATAATCCTTAACTAGCTTTAACCACATTCTCTGCCTCATAATCAGCTCCTTTTGAGTAAAGAAATACTTTAAATTCTTATAATCAGTGTAGATATTACTCTTAGCTCCATAAAGGTAATGCCTCCAAATCTTTGATGCAAAGACTACGGCTGCCAACTCTAAGTCATGCGTAGGGTATCTCATCTCATACTATTTCAATGGCCGAGAGGCATATGCTATCACCCTACCTAACTGCATTAACACCGCCCCAAGTCCTTGCAATGAGGTATCCGTATAAATGTCATAATCTACACCCTCCTGTGGTAACACCAACACTGGAGCTGATGTTAACCTCTTCTTCAACTCTTGAAAACATTCTTCACAATCTTCTGACCATACAAAAGGAGTCTTCTGTTTGGTAAGAGCTATCAATGGTTTAGCCAACTAGGCGAACCCCTCAACAAAACGTCTGTAGTAACCTGCCAGGCCTAAGAAACTTCGGACCTCTTTATTGCAACGAGTGGGTAAAGTTGCCTACAGATTGGTACTTCCACCTAGAATGGACAAGGTGCATGATGTGTTCCATGTCTCACTGCTACGAAAGTATGTAAGTGATCCCTCCCATATCCTGAGTATAGAAGATTCGTTTTGCTCTCAAGTTGAACTCGTTTTGTTCAAATTGAGCTCGTTTTGCTGAGGTTGGCTCGTTTTGCTCTCAAGTTGAGCTTGTTTTGTTCAGATTGAGCTCGTTTTGCTTTCAGGTCGAGCTCCTAATAGATTTCAGGTCGAGCTCCTAACAGATAGCGATCAGCTCCTGGCTCTCAGCACTCGATCGCGCCAAGAATGGTTCGAGTTCTTCAGTTCGAGACTACAGCCATTCAGATCAAAGACCTTGGTTTCTAAAGCGTGATTACGCACTCCAAAAACTGGGGGGCTTCTGTTATGCCTCAAAAGTCACGCTTATGTCAGCCTAATAAATGTCTTTTGTACTAGCTGCCAAGACCATATCTCCTCAAAGATATTCTTACCAACCCTATCTCCTCTCAAGAAATGAATGGATAAGAGCCTTCCATGTGTTAAGACAACTTGCAAAACACTCATTACATTAAGTGTTTAGGTGTATAAATTGACACTTCTCTTCCCAAAGAGGGGGGCTGGGCATATGAGAGCTAAACCATAGATTCAAGCTCAATTCTTTCTCTCTGTAAACACTGTATTTCTTCATCTTTGTATGCCTTATGGGCAATATCATAAAAATAGTCAGAGATCAATAAAATAACAATGGATGTAGGAGTTACTTGTTTGAGCATCCGAACCACTATAAAAACCTCTCTTGTTAGCCTATTATTTATGTTTTCTGTAACGTATATAATCTCAGCTCCATATTCAAATCTCATGGATCCATCACGTGTAATTTCTAAGACCCTCTTAGCACTTTGCATGTGCAAGTCGTTGGCATCCAAAATCAAGCGTCAACAGATTACCTTTTTTTATTTTAATTTATAGATTCATAGAATATTGCAATTAAAAGTTTGTTGTTTGAAAAATGCAGATGCTTGCCTTGTGGACACCTATCTGTTTGTCTTGCATTGAAAAATGGATCAACAAGGCTCCAGCGGTATATTATTTTCCTATTTGTAATTTGATTATATGTTTCATTCACTTTTATTATGTGCATTAATTTAATTTCTTGGTTATATTGCCCCTCAATGCAATGAGCGGTGCAATTTGAATGATGTGATAAAGTTTATGCTTTACTTGCAATTCTGCTTGATCAAGATCTCGAGAAGGTATTTTTATTGTAGAATGATTAATGTTTATTAATGAACAGTATTCATCAAAATTCAATCTGAGGTTTTGCTCTTTTGCAATATTGCAGGATAATAAGGAGCTCAAGGCTTAGAACCGCGATTTGTTGTCACACGTAAGGCTTATCATTAATAAATTATTTAAACTCACATTTATTTCTTTTTCCATTAAAATTCGGATATGTAGAAATCTTAAGTTATTTCTGTTTTTCATGACAGCTCCGAGGCTTCTAGTAAAGTGAGACTTCTCCATGTCAGGCTTCTGGTAGTGGTGATAATTGTTAGCATAATGAGCTGTTTAAAAGGTGTAAGTATAGAGAAAATCACCAGTTTCATTCTCTACAACTGTTCACGTCTTGGTAATCAGAGAAATTTGTAGATCTAATTTCGTCATTCATGTATGGATTATGAATGGCTTTAATATGTTGTTTATGGAATAATGTCATGTTTACAACTGAGTCATACAACGAGACAAAAAACATAGGATAGATTAGTTATTTTACATGAATTTTGTAAAATTTTAGCTGGGTTGTATAATTTAGTTATAAGCATAGCATTATTCGTTGTTTATAATCACTTCAAATCATCTAAAGGTTGTCGGCATTGGAGTAATTTTGGCTAATTTACCTTGTGGATATATAGATTCCAATAATCAACATCTTCTTAGCAGCCATGTCGGCCTATTTTGATTTTCTAAATGCATCTTAAAAGTTTTAGAGGTTATTATAACAATTAATTTGCAGAATATTAAATGACATGTTGTTTAAGCTTCACATCTTAAACGACTTGCTTAACATACATCATCCATTCCTCTTGTGGACTTGTTCTCTATATACTACATTTACGAATTTATGGAATAACTAAAAATAGAATAATGCTACAGACACTAAAAATAAAAGTTGCATCAAATTTTTGTACTAATGTATGTGACATCCGGTTACATGTAGTCATGTTGGAGACAACACTCCTCTTTCGTGAATGAACGGTTGTCCAATAATTATAGATGTTCGTCTATATTTGATGAACGATTGTTCATCACGAATAAATGGTTGTCCAACAATTATGGACCCCTTTCTATATTTTATGGACGATCGTCCACCAATCCGGACGAATTCTTATACCGAAATAACAATGAGATCTCATTCATTTCATATGGATAGGTGTCCACCTCGAATGGATGCTTGTCTTAAATTATAAAAGAACAAGGTAGATGCCCGTCCATATTCAATAATAATAACAATAACATACTAAAAAATGTATGGGATTTTATTGGTCTTAGGAAATACAAAGCTTTACACTTTAGAAGTCGAAAGATGCTTTTGTTTTACACGAAATTCACTGCTGGCCTTGCAAAATCAAAATAAATCAAGTTAGAATATGTCTCTGATCTAAATGAGAAGCAAAACTAAAATATTCAAAATAATCAATACACCAACAAAATAATAGTATGTTTAAATGCCAAAAATCCAAAAGAACAACAGATAAGAATCTAACAAAGCCCAACAAAAACCTTCATGGAAACTAAGTGAAGTCCATTGAAGAAATTATTCAAGAATGTGGGATTATTTTGGCCCAAGGAAAATGCATAATGGAAGGCAAGAGTAAGGACTTAGTCTAAGGAGATATTACGGCTCAAAATTTGGCCCAAGTAGGTAGAGTCGTTTATCATGAGCCCAAGTGGCCCAAATGGATTTTGACTATTTGGGTTCAATGCCTTTAATTGGATGTAGCTAGATTACTTGGGAAATTTCTCACCAAAAGTAGTTCAAGTGTTCAAACTTTGCTGGGAGAATTAAGGGAAGCATATGGGAGCATTAAATGCAAGAGACAAGGGAACACATGGGTGGCTACAAGCATTATCCGATTTGGCAAAAACAAGGTTGTAAGGTTTGGGCGGCTCCATGTCCATTACCACTTAGGGAAAGTTCTAGGATCTTGTATTTTAGCTAATCCATGCATGCATTTTTTTTTTTAATTTTTATTTCTCCTATGTTGGAACCCATGTATGACCAATTCAAATATTGGTCAATTTTCTTTTATATGGCTTAGATTCACTAGGAGTTAGTGCATGCCACTTGTACGCCCAAGATTAAACCAAGTTAGGGCAACTTTTGCAACTTTTTGTAAGGCCATTATATAAGGCTAGCTTCTCCTATTGTAAGGTAGTTTTTAGATGAATAAAATTCGTAGTTCTAGTGAGAGCTTATTTTATACTTTATCCAATCTTGCCGAAAGGGTTGGTGGTGGTTTATCCTTGGCTAGTGGTGATCCTTTAGGCCCTGGAATCATTTTGGCAACCTTGTTTTTTCTTTGTTTTAAGTGTTATTTTTGTTGTTGAGTACAAACATTAGAGCTAGTCGTAAATTGCAAGCTTGATTCCTTGTCAACCAATATGAGTTCGTCAAGTGTAAAACTCTATCAACTCACTCTATTCACTTACAAATGCATCAACAACATATATCAGTAATAATTTCCATCACTTAAACCTTGGTATCTGTACGAGGCAAATAAAAAATTTTATTTGCCAATGGACGACTGTCCTTTATTATAATTTTAAAAATTTATGGATGGGCGTCCATTCGAGGTGGACCCCCATCCATAGGAAATGGACAGGAGTCCATTGTTATTTTCGTATGGATGGTCGTCCATGAAATATGACTGGGTGTCCATAACTGTTGGATGACCGTTTATTCACGGAAGATGTGTTTTGTCTCCAACGTGGTTGTGTCTGACTGGATGCCATATCCTTCAATAAAAAAATTCGGTGCAAAAAATCGGTGTCTGTAACAACTGCTGAAAACTAGTACAATGCATGCATAATAACAATATAAAATTTGGGCCCAAAACTTTCTTTTCATTATAAGTCATATGTCTTTTATACACAAAGAGTATTGTTTACAAAAATTCGTTTTAAAAGACAAAGCAAGGGGAAACAGTGTAGCTATTGCTCCTCGCTTGCCGACGCCCCTCCGACTGCATCAACACCTAGATCCTGCATCCACAAAGGAAAATAACGGGGTGAGCACAAAATAATGCTCAGTAAGTAAAACCCTCTATCTGTCTGTCCCCGTATGAATAACTCTTAATTCTTTCCTTATACTATTTCTGATTCTATTTCTGTTTCTACTAACATCATGGCCTCATCTTACCGGAGGTACGGCCGGATGGCGTTCACACAGCACTATCTCACTCTCCATGACTATCGGGTGGAGTTCACACAGTACCAACCCGTTCTTAGTGACTACCGAGTAGGGATCACAAAGCACCAACTCGATTTTCCTAACTATCGGGTGGAGACCACCTAGCACCTACCCGTTTCTCATGACTTTTGGGTAACGATCACCAAGCATTAACCCGTCTCTAGTCACTGTCGGGTGATGGTCACAAAGCATCAACCCACTTCTACTAAATGTCGGATGATGATCACAAAGCATCAACCTACTTATCTATTAACTAACCGGGTGGTGGTCACAAAGCATCCACCCGTTCCTAATACTTATCGGGTGACGATCACGAAGCATCAACCCATCTCTAAGGGCTATTCGGGTGGTGATCACAAAGCATCAACCCGATTCCCATAACTGTTGGGTGATGATCACAAAGCATCAACCCATCTCTACTACTCTTCTAATTCACTCTATTCTAGCATTTTGTTTCATTCTCTCTACCCTTAGAGTAGTTGCATCCACCAAGCTCTCTACTCATAGGGTAATTGCATACCCAAGTTTCCTACACTTTCTTAGGTCACTTTTCAATACATAATTAGTGCCTATGGATGGTTTATCTCCACTAATGCACTTATGAAATGCCAACATGCAATGTTACAAGAATTAAGGTTCACTACTCATACTCAAACCTCTACTAGGCATTTCATCAAACAACTCAAGTGCATCATAAAACTTTACTATAGCAATGATTCTAAATCTTTCTCTAACCATCCAAAATGGGGATAAACCCCTTCACATAACCATAGAACCTGTCAAAGAAAGCACTTCCAAAAAGGGTATCCATAACACCCCTTCAATTCCATCTCAAACTACCTTTCCAACCCACAACTCATTTCTTATATTTGAAAGGTATAAACAATCACAAGGCATAGAAATCTCTATTTAAGCCTCCATACATGGCATATCACATGTATATCACATACATACATCATTTCTATCAAAACCCTAATCAAGAAAATTCTTAAATCTCAACTTGGGTTGGGATTTACTTACCTTGCTATGGAGAGACTTCACCAACTCTTCCTTTCACTTGGTTTGCTTGACTTTTTCTCTACTCTTAACCAAAAGAACAAAAACCCTCAAACTTCAATATAAACTAAAACTCACAAGTTTCACAACTAAAGTAAGAATCCTTACCTTAGGAAGCCTTAGGTTGATTTTCTACCCCAACTCACTTCAAAAACCCCTTGGAACTCCTTGATCAAAAGAAAGAGAAATTGAGAGGAACAAGAATGGAGAGTTGCGTTTTTGAGAAGAAGAATGAGGGGTTTGCTAACTCTTAATTCCTTTTAATGAAATTTATACCAAAGCATTCCCATTTTGCCCTTACTCTTCTTTGGGAATTCCATCTATATCCTTTGATTCATTACAAACTCACCCCCATATCAACATATTCTCCATGAAAAATCCTTACAATTAACTCCCCACTTTTCCTGCTAATTAGGGGTAGAATGGTCAAATTGCCCTTAGGGAAGAAAATATCTAAAACTTAACAAACATTTTAATCGGCCTGTCGCCGTGGCGAAGAAACTTCTATCGCCGCGGCGAAACTGTCCAGAGAGTTTCCCCGTGGTTTCAACACATCTTCGCCGCGGCGAAGATTATTCTTCGCCCCGGCGAAGCTTGGTACACTGAACTTCTTCTATTTTCAACCAATTTCAGGGCAACATTCAACACAACACTCAATCAAACAATATTACCAAAACCAACTCAAATAAGAGCGAAAGAGGAGACAATAACTACGTACCTCATGTGGGACGTTACAGTGTCTGTAGCATTATTGCCATTAGAGATTATGTGAAGTTTAATATATTTACATACCTTTTTGTTTGATTTTTAAGTATATATTGTTTTTTATTTAAAATATATTGTATATATGTTTTGTTGATGCTTGATTTTGACACCAACTATTCACGTGTGTGAAGTACTAAGCGGACTTAGAAATCACACGTGATATAGAAGTATAAAAAGAAAGATTGAACGAGTGACAATTTTAAAGTGGTTCGGATGCTCTAAGGAGAATCTTACATCCACTGTAATTATATTAATGGGAGGTTACAATCAAGTCTCGCTTGACAAGTTGAATTACGATAGAGAAATTAAATGTAAAAAGAGAGAGCGAGTATATGTTTTAGTCTAAGAATGAGCCAAT